AAATTAACAGATTCGTGTTTTATTTAACAGCGATTTATGGCAATAATTAACAGAAATGGGCTGCAGAAACAACAGAGAGTTTTAACATGTCAGTTTGTTGAAACAACAGGGATCAAGAGTTATCAGTTAATTTAACACTTTTCATATTAATATAACATTTTTTCACAATTAATATTAGCAGACGTTATTTCTCTCGGTGCGTGAAATACTTGCGTGTGTATTTTGTATCACATGTTTTTCGGAAAAAAAATTAAAAAAGAATTTAACAAAATTTTAAGTGATTCCCCAAAAGTCTACGAAAAAAACTAAAATTTGCTATTTGACGCCATATTTTCAGCTACTTAAGAAAAACTCCTCTTTTGTGTTAATACAACGATTATTTTAGAACAAAAAAGAGTTGAAAAATCTTATTAAAACAAAGCAACTAAAAAATCTTATTAAAAACTGAACAAATAACAATCATTACAAAAATATAATAATAACAAAAAGTAAATTAAATTAACTTGTTATGAATTTATTAAAGAAATCGAGTTTAAAAAATTAATATAATTTTCTGTACACTTTAGTATCTTTAAAAACTATGCAAAATTAATTTAAAAGCGCAATAAAAATTTCAATTTTCAACTTTATAAAAAAGTACCAAATGTCACAACGCAAAATATTAAACAATTTAATTATTAAACTTAACAAAAAGATTCTCAATTATGAACACTTATAAATCAAAAAATCTGCTCAAACAAAAATTAATTATTTCATAGAAAATATTTTAAATTCTATTAAAAATATTAATATTCTTTTTTTGCTTTACACATATATGCATTGGATTCCCACAAGAAGTTGCAAATCATAATTTAAAAGCATTGAACTCAGTTAATTACTTAATGCTATAAAATAAATAATTTTAATGACTTAAGTATTTGACAGAAAAAAGAATAAAAACATATGCGTTGGCACATAAAATCATGTTTTTCTTATATAACTACTTGTATATACATATGTATGTATGTAAGTAGTTCAAAGCTTAACTAATTTCAACCTCTTCAAATTGAATATATCAATAGATTTTATTTATTTAGAGCTTTTCAAATGCAGTGTTCTTCAGACTTTTTAATTCTTTTTTTTTTTTTGTTTTTAAACGAATAGTGTGCGCAGTCTGCTGCGCATGCGCTAAGCAAGTTCATAGCATTTTTATAACTTTGCTATTTGTTGTTAACTATTTTTTAATTGATGATTTCAGTGCACAGTTTTGCACAATCTTTGAATGATATGTACGAGTTGTGGCGGAGATTGAAACTAATGATTTTTTTTCTTATCTTGTAAATTCATTATATATGTAGGTTTTTGTAGCAGTTGTGTATATATGTATGTAGTAGTAGAGTTTAACTTTTATATGGCAAATTTCTTGCGAATCGCACTCGACAAAGTATAGAGACATACAAAAATGCAAGTTTTTAGTTAAGCTTACATTTATTTTTCATACACATGTTTGTATACATACATATGTACGTGCTTCAGTATGTACTAACTAACCTAGTTTCTTTTGGCGTGCACATACATTTATGGCAAATTGCAAAAGTGCTCGATTCCAGATGTCATTGGCTTGTGAAAAAATGATAATCGTAAAACATCTGTCTACTTTGTTTTTGTTTATATACACTGCTCTTGTTTTTTTTTAATTTCCAGTTTTTACGTTTTGTAGCAATGCTACTGTTTATAACATTTATGGGAAACCCTTTTAAACCTTTTTACCAGGTGAAACTCTCCACAATAACAATTAACTTATAGCTTTTTAACTATTCGCGCACATATAATGAGAAACAAGCACATCGCTGAAGAACAAGAGCAACTGAGAATATTGCTGTGGTAGCCCAAGAGGTTTAAGAATACCCAGGTTTGTCCATTTCTCGTCGTTCTGTGGAATTGGGCATCCCACAAACACCATAACACCGTATTTTGCTTAAAGACTCGGGTCTTAACACAAGAACCCAAGCCGGTCGATCAACAATAGCATCGTGTCTTTGCTGATTCTGTCCTTGAACTGCATAAAAATGTTGGGGTATTTCATTGAAAAATCATCTTGACTGTTGAGGCCATCGCGGTGGATGGCTGCTTCAAAGAGCAAAACTGTCCCATCTTTAGCTCAGCTAACCCAAGATTTATTGTGGAAAATCCTCTCCATCCCCAACGTGTAACTGTTTGGTGCGGCTTATACTCCGGCGGGGTCATTGGATATTACTTTTTCGAAAGTTGCTCATTTTCGTGTGGTTACCGTTACCGTTACCGTGAACAGGGTTGCGCTATCGAGAGATAATTAATGATTTTTTACGGCGGTAGTTGGATGCTCTTGATTTGGACAACGTTTACTTTCACTGCCACATAACTAGCGAAACCATCAACCTTTCAAGGGAAAACTTACCGGACCATGTTATTTCTCGAAGTGGTGACCGCAATCGGGCAACGAGAACCGTGATTTGCCACCTTTGTTGCAGATAAGGGTTACGTCAAGACCTCAAATGTGGAATTCTTAGAGCTATTGAGGGCATGCAGCAGCCACTTTGCGACTTGGCGATGGAAATTTTCATAAAAAACATGCGATCCTGAAAGCGTAATCGTGACGGCCATTGCACTGTGGCCAAGAACACCGAAATTTTTGCATAATATCCATTTTTTTATATATCAAAATCTTGAAATTGAATGTGTTGTCTAATTATGCATATTTAGGAGAAGATAGCGGTTTGAACTTAAACATATATGGTTTAGTCAAAGTATATATATGAAGGTTTTATTAATATTTTTTGCCCGTTTTTGCTCCTCTTTGAAAAAAATAACAAATATTAGTTTCGCTGTTTAACATTGCTGTAGGTTTGGGACCACAATGGGCGTAACGACTCTACCGTAACGAAGCGGATTGTGGAAACAGTGAAAATAAATGAATTCACACAGCTCTCAAGTTCTTAGAATTGATGGAAGAGTTCGGAGTTTTATAACACACATAAAGAATATTTTGCCTAAATGCAGCCTTATGATGTCAAGATTTAAAGTTAATCCGCCAAGATGACTTTCGGAGGCAATTATTATAACTTTGGATGAAGAGCTTACCGATCCATCTCCCTCTAAAATGGAAAAAGCCGAAATTATATTACTCATATGCTCAAATGCGCTTAAAGCATCGGGCATAGACTTTTCAATGCAGCACTCAAAAATCGTCAGGGAAGAGCAAACTGGATACCCAAAATATCAGTTGATTATTATTCTCGTTAGCCCGGAGAAGCATTCTGACTGGAAAATGGACTCACCAAACAGCATTGTATTAATAAGCGTCATCTTAATAAAGCTATTGGCTGTGACTTCAAGTTACCAAAGCAGACCAATTCAAATAGAGATTTCGGAATATTCTACACACGTTCCAGTGCAAAACAGTTTAGACCAAGGTGTGGGAGAAGGGTTTGAAGGTATAGTTTTATTTAATGAAAAAAAAAATCTATAAATTTATTTGAAATTTGTGTGCAAATTTTTACTTTCCAACTTTAAAATTCGACTTTATGCATAAATTTCAATTTTTTTGGTCATTATTCATTGGTTTAATATTGTCGTCTATTATAAATGGCATATCATCCTTTTTACATAGAAATAAACATTTATCTCAAAATATCTAATTTTTCTTTGTATTTAAAATTACAATTTCTTGTTAGAAAAACGGTTGGACAGACGGCTGGAGGTTACTCATGATGTAATGCAGCAGGTGGTGGATTGTATTCCGGAGGATCTTTTTCGATGGATTCTGTCTACTCCGCCTTTATTTTGGTTGTAAAATGTGATCGAATTTAATGTTAAAGCTAAATCGCTTACAGTTCTGGCGCAAAAGCAACTTGCGTCCTAAAAACCGGGCTTCGCTTCAAATCGATTCATACTGGTGGGAGTTCAGGGCTCGAATCGAGTAATTCAAGAATGTGTAACTCGTCGTGTTAATTTAGGTATTTGGCATAACGCATTACGTGAACGTGTACTCGTTGTCGTAATTCGGTATGATATGTTCGGAAAGATCATGGCGTTCAATAGCATTTCGTTAAGAACTGTCATTCGATTACAAAATTGTGTTCATAAACAAGCAATCAATAAAAATATAAGTAATTTATTTTAAAATATAAAAAAAAATAGTTGAATTGAAAAATATATTATTGTTTTATTAATAAAAAATTTTATTTTAGGACAAATGCAAATAAAATTAACACAGCACAAAAAGAGTTCATCGCTGAATTCATACGGTTATACCCAAATTTAGCAAAAATCCTTTTGCCAAACTGCACACAGGTCAATACGCCAGAAGGAAGAAAATGTACAAATATAAATTTTCCCTTAGTTCGAAATATTTCTAACGTTATATTTTCAAAGAAAGTGCCAGGCGAAAAAATACTTGGAAGTTCCCTTATTTGCCTGCTTACAATTCGTTCATCGCCATCAGTTTCATCGGAAGATAAACGAAAAAGTAAAAGGCTGACCATAATTTGACAAAATATTAAGCATTTGCGAACAGCTGATTCAAAATTGTGAGAGAAGAATGTAGAAGATGAAGATGAAATCTTTCGTATGGCATCATCTCAATAATTTTATACAATTTACGTATCACGGAATTTCTTTCGTACGACTGCCGTTAAGTTCACTCGAATCAATGCTCGATTCGAGCCCAGCTTGATGCTTTCGAATTGTTTACACAATTAAGTACATTCTACTGGTCAAACACTAATCATCATGGGTTTTACCATTTGAGGGTTCTGCTTGCTGTTCTTAATTTTCTTCACATAATTTACCAGCTGATTCATGATCGGAACTCTTACTTTCCAGCTCAACTTCCTCAATAATCCGATTTCTAAGTATGCAAATATTTATGTTGTTTACAAAATTCTATATTTCTCTACAAACGAATGCTCAACTGCTGTGAACTTTCATGAACAAGTGTGAAAGAAGTACCAACAACCGACTGGGGTTAAATAAATATAAAAATTAAACAAAACTCTGTTTATTTAGCACAATGTATACACAAGCATAATTCTGACAGTTCAAAAATTTCGAGAATTTCTCACTATCGCCACTCTTATTTGCCTTCACGAACATAATTGAAAAGCCTTTCTTAAAAAATGTCGCTGAATTGTAAGCTGCTATCAATCTGCCTAATATTACGTTAGTTCATTTGATGGATTTTTAAGCGTACAGTCCACTCGCTTTTTATCTCATTTTCAAAATACACTCCCTGCCGAGTAGCGAATGCAATTAGAAAATTTAAATTTATATTAATCCAACTGTTGCTTTGACTAGGATTCGAACCCTTCAGCCTCTGCTTAGTAGTACGCGCTTCAAATAAGATTTTTCGTTGGTAATAAATCTAATAATTTTAACAACGTTGGAACTGAAGTATAAATGAAAGAAAATCAATATAAACAAAGAACAAGGGGTTTAAATACACTATGCAACAAAAAAATTTTCGACAAGACATTCGTGCTCAGAAGTTGAATGTATGCCAATTTCTTGAACATTCCTTTTGCATTCTTAGCTCATATAAGGGGGCATTACTTTATTTTTTGCTCAAAGTGATTTTTCAGCTTTTCTTAATATTATATTTTGATAAAACCATATCTCGTGAGCCGTGCGGAATATTGTTCTAGTATCGGAAGCAACGTTGTTGGCATTGAATAGACAAAAAAAATTGCATAACAATTTTACCCAAAAAAAATATAATTTTTTACCCCACAAACAAAAAAAAAACTTTTTTTTAGCAATTTTTTACGGGTTTTCGCCAATTTCTCAGAACTTATAAAAAAAATCATTTTTGGGCTCACAAACAAAAAAAAATTAAAAAAAATGTTGCTATTTTTAACGGTTTTTGGCCAAATTCTCAGAACTTAACAGACAAACAAAAAAATAATACTTATTTTAGCACTTTTCATCGGTTTTACCTAAAATCTCAGATTTTTTTTCTTTATTTCGAATAAAAAAAAATGATTTTCAATTCATTTTATCCTGATATACCTATGTTTTCCGCAATGGCGGTTCATCATCATCAGCAAGATCAGGACCATCATCTGTATCAGGGTCAGTAAAAATATTTATTGGCATATCTTTGTTCATATTTTCTTCATATCTTTTCAAATCCCGGTCTTCGGTGTATTCATTTTCAAATTGGCTTATTTTTCTTGACCACCAACACATTTCTGCAAGCAATGCATTCAGTTTTTCCTTTTGTATCTCGCTTTTATTTGATTGGTGATGTGATTAAAACGCTCAACTTGTTCGTCCGACTCTTGAAGCAATTTTCGCACAAATTCTTCAAGATGAAAATGTAAAAAAGGCAATTTCAATGACTTTCTGTGTAATAATGGAATAGTTCATTAATTCTTCTATTGATCTCAACTCGCTGTTCACGATTGTACCCCAAACAACCTCGATAACTGCTCTTAATGCCAACCATACTTCGAAATAATCAGCACTCAATAAATTTATAAAGGCTTGGCTTTTCATTCTTTTCCGTATATCCGTTCCTTGTATAGAATTCATTTTGTGTTGCATCATTTCATTTTGTGTTGAATCATTTTGTGTTGCATCATTTTGTGTTGCATCATTTTAAGAACAGGTCCAAAGACGATTAAATTTTCCGAAGTCGAAGGTTTGGGTAAATCGACACTAGCGCATTTTTCTGCAGCTATGGCGAACTTGCGTATGTTCAAATAGCGCAGACAGGCTTTATTTTCTCCTCTCGCTCAGTTCAGGAAGTTTGTGTAAAAAATTTTGCAATAAGTTTTCGACGTAAAGTCTTTATCAGTAAAATAAAGACCATATGATGTTTTGAATTTCTCGTTGAGCATATTTCTTCTTTACTAACTTTCTGCTTTTTGCATTATATGAACATAAATATAGCAGTTTGTATGTTGCATATTGAAATTATGAATATTTTTTTGCTTTTTTAAAGGTTATTCACACCGAATTATTGTTGAATTTTTACACGCTTGATAAATCAACACTCTGATTCTTATTTGAGCTGAGAATGCAAACTCAAGATTTGGAATCTACTTTCAATTTGTGATCACGAAAGTCATGTCGGTCATAATCCGAAATCCGAAAAATGTTGAATGAAAAAAAAACGAAATATTTTCAGAAAAAAATTTTTTATCAAAAGAAAAGAGAAAATTTTTATTTCAAAACAAAGCCGCCTATGTGTGGGCTCTCCAAATTTTTTCCATAAAAACAGAAGGAAAAGAAAAAAGAATTTCAGAATTATGGAGTAAAATGTGCCGCCAACCAAAAACATATAACTCTTTCAATTCAAGTTTTTTTTTATTTCATTATTTTGACAGTTGGAGACTGTAATATTTAGCATTATGATTGCCAGCACTGACTGGCGGAATTTTCACATTTTATACTATAAACACTTTAAATAAAAAAAAATAATTTTTGTAAATTAAAAAAAAAAGAAGATCCCCACATGTCATACTACATTCACTTATGTACAACCATGTAAAACAATTTGATTCGTTGGTATAAACAATTTTTTATTTAATACGCATAATATATAATAGAATTACACAATTAAAAATCTTACAAATTTTATTTCTTTTTTTTTTGTAATATTTATAAACTTTTGGCAAAGTTGATCCTTTCACCGCTCGAGAAAAACTGCCATAAAATATGAAAACTGTTATTTTTGGCGCCAAATGACGGCGCTCAGTATGAAAAACTTCATCAGTTAGCGTAAAAATTTTCATTTACACATGTACACTGTCTGTGTGACTTGACTCTCTTGTATATGGATACGAAATCGAAAGCTTTTTGCACACATATACGCACTTGCAGTACACCTATACTGTACGTGAAATACTTTCGTTTTCATTACAGCATGAGAGTCTTACATGTACACAAAATATATTCAACACCCAAAGCTGCTGAGCTTTTACCAACGCTTTGCCTCCATGTGCACTCTCGCGATATTACGCTCTGCGCTCGACGCTCGACGCTTGACGCCTGCAAACGAAATCGAAAATGTCTTTCGCTTGTACTTAATTTTCATAAGAGCTTACCATCGTCTGCAGCTACAAACTTACCTGCTGCACAGCCCCCCTTTTAGCTGATACGACATTATATTTCTAAACTATTTTTTATTGTTTCTTCAATATGGATAATTGCAAAGTCTACGTGAGTATGATTGTCGCTGTTGGCTGCAATCATATGCAGAGCACCATTTTTTTGGCTTTGACAGCGACTGCTGCTGCTGCTGCTGCTGTGTCGCTGCGCGGCTGCTGTTGTTCGTCGTCGCATCCGTGCCTCTCCCTGCGCACCCGCTAAACGGACCATCCGTCAACGCCTGTTCGGCGTTCTATAAGCATGCGTCGGTATAAAAGCTTGTGGCGGCTGGTCAAAATTATTCAGTATCTGTCGTAGGTTCGTTGTTATTAGAACGACCTCAGCCTCCAAGTAATAATACTTAAATTTGAATTGAATTTGATCATTTTAATTAACAAAGAAATTTTTTGTTTTGTGCTTTGTTTTTTTCAGATTCATTTTATTTCTTTAACTGAATTCTTAGTAATAAAAGCGAGTGTAGAAAGCAGCACAGCGCGTTCATTTGTCGGTGTTTGTGAAAAAATTTGTGAAACAAGATGAAATTATTGGTATGTTGTGTGAAAATTATCAGAATAGTAAAAACTAAAAATAATCAACGAGTACTTTGTGTTGCTACAAAGAAGTGTGAGAAATAAATATGAGCGAATTTGCGAAAACTTTTGAAAGAAAATGGTGGGCTGTCCAATGCAATAGCATATATATTATGAGCCCTTTGGCTCTGACAAAAGAAAATCACTTTTGGTTTAAATTGAAAAGCAATAAAAAATTCTATGCCAAATTTTGCGAATTTTTTTCAAAATATTATAAGACTTTTGTTTTTAGTTATTAATTAAGAAAAAAAAATGGTTTGATACAAATAATATTAAATTTGTCACAAAAAATATTTTTAATAAATTATACTATTTCACAAAAAGTTATAATTTGAAAACAAGAGCTGCTAAAAATAAAAAAAAATAGTTTCGTTTTCGAATTTATTACAAAATTTATTTTTTAAAAATTGGTGAACTAAAGACCAATTTTAATCCAAAGAATTAGAATCCAAAGAATTAGAAATTTTGAAGCAATTTATTTTATTTGAAGACTAATTTAAATAAAAAGGAATTAAAAAATATTCTGCTATAATTTTGTTATATAAAATTAAAAAAATATATATTCCGAAAATCATAAGCTAATATAATTTGCTTATTATAAGAGTTATGTTATTTAATTTGTTTGAGGAAAATTTAAAATAAAGCCCCATCACTCGAAATTTTTTATGAAATTATTCATTCTCTTAAAATAAAAAATTGTCTTCGAACACTAAAATATTCTTATTAAATTTTTTTTTAATTTCATAACTTTAACTAAATTAAATAAAAAAAGCAAAAATAAAATAAAGTTAATAAATTTAAACTTATTTTATGAACGATAATTCTTTAAATTTTTTTTTATTTTTTTATAACTTTTTGATTAATAAATTCAATGCTGTAAGTTAAACCTCCCTGTGAATTAATTGATTTTAATTAATTCTAAACATTTTTTAAAAGAATAATAAGATTTAAAGAAAAATTAAGAAATTGGGAGCAAAAAGCTAAGAGCTTTCGACTATAAAGTTTGTGTCTTAAGTCTTTTCATCCTAAAGCTTAATATTGAACTAAAAGAGAATTTTTTCCTATTGAAATATCTAGAAAACTCACACCATAATTACCTTAAATTAGTAAATGATTGAAAGTTCTTTTATTCTGAAGGGAAATTTCTTTCAAAAATTTTTAATTACAAATTTGTAAATCAAACATTTTTTTCACATTTAAAGTAAATTAATTAAAACTTAATATAATTCATATTGGGAATGCAAATAAATGCATTTTATTTTTTGTGATAAAAAAAATTTTATTGCAAGAAGCAGAATTATAAATTCATCACTCCAAGGTTTATCTTAAGGAAGAGCCATCCGAATACCACGATTTCTGCAAAAATCCCATACGACTGACCCCCAATATCGTTTAAGAGCCGTCAAAAAGGCAATAGTCGTGCGTGGTGTAAAACCTTCCATTCCAACAATTCCAGGAAGTTTTTGACTGTTACCACGTTAGACCGAGCGTTGTAATTTTTCGAAATCAACTTGTTTTGCTTTTCTCTAGTTGTAATCTCGAGCAGTTCAAATCAATGGTCCTATTCGGACGCTCTTCGTCTTCGATGCTAAAATCACCACTTTCGAAGCGTCGAAACCACGCGTGTCTTACCGATCGGCGTAGATTCACTATAAACTTCCACAAGCATTCATTGAGCTTCAGTGGCAATTTTCTTCCATTTAAAGAAAAAAATCAAAACTTCCCGCAAATGCTAATTATTTAACATAAATCCGGACATTTTCGAAGCCTCAAAAAGCAATATTTTTTTAATAGAAACAGATGCTGAAAGACACTAATTATTGTCGACTGAAGTGAAGCCTTTTCCATTGAAATAGGGAAACGCTTCCAAGATCGAACACAACTTCCAGATGGATCCAGGTTTTGAGTACAAACCAAATTAGTTTGTACTCCTAATATAATAAACAAATTATTATTAGGTGATTTGGACTGACGAGTTATTGTAAATTATAAGAAGATAGTAGATGTAGATTAACGAAAGTAATTAAACAAATCAGATACTTCATCTCAATGCCAAGGTCATGTGAACGTACCATGGATTTTTATTCATAAATGTAGTAATTACTTTTGTACTTAAAACTCAACCCGGTTTTACCTTAAAGCAGTAACACACCTTCAAGTCAATCCAAATGACACAATAACCACAAATAATGCCAACTTTTCCGCAGCACGCACCAAAAAAGCAAAAGCGCATATTATTACATGATCAACTTGTAAGTCAAGCTTGAAAGTGAAATGCAGGGGCGCCCTTAAAATGAGCAAAAAGCCAACGAATTTTTTATCAACAATATCACTTACACAATTGTCACTCCACAAATTCGCATTGAACTTGGCACAAAGCCAAAGCAAAACGAAAATGAAAACAAACCCCCAGCCGGTTGGATGTGAGCAAACAAAAATATAAAAATAAAATGACAAACACACGAAAAAGTGTTGATTGGTTGGGAAATAAAAGTACCAAAGCGACGCGCGCTCAAATTACAAAACAGCAACACACAGGCGTGACGAGGCAAAAAAAAATAGGCAGGCGCATGCAGGCACGCACAATTCCAAAACAAAGTTGATGAATGAGCAAAAAGTACAAGTTTGTTGCATGAGGCAAGCGGCAGCAAAAGAAAACAACAGCAGCGAAGTCATATCATAATTGCCAAATAGCTATCCGATACATTTCTGCCCCAGCTTCGTTCAACTCACTCACAGGGTTTTCCAATAAGAGATGTTAGTTTGATATTAAAAGAAACTTTTCGTTTAAAAAATCGTTAAAATCATCTCTTATAGCGCGATCCATTCACCGCATCTGTTGCTCCAGCCCCATTTTCGAAAAGCTTATTTACATAGTCATCGAGGTGGAAGTGAGCCTTATTAATCAAGATGATTTTTCTTTGAAATTTTCATAGCTAATTTTACGAATTTCAATGCGTTGCTAAAGCGTGTATCGTTTCATTTTTATTACTGGCGTGGTTTTTACTTGTCAAATGTTAAAAAGTTACAACTTCAACAGTGACATCTACCGGTATGGCAAAATAACATCTTCTTTTAGTAAACCCTTTATAACGTTTTAAAAGCAAAGAAAAAGAAACAATTTTATTATATCATAGCTTGTTTGTTTAACTAACAAAGTCTCCTATTGGCTATTTGTTTTATTTTTTTTGCTTTGTAATAAATTATTAATCAATTTTGGTCACAATACGCTTGGCCGCATTAAAAAAGGAAGCGCCACTGATGATAATCGCTACTTATAGCCATCGCTGTTGAAGCAAAATAAACAATTTTGCTTTCCTTTTAGCATAATGACTGCATTGTTCACCAGAAATGGCAAAGCAAAAAAATTCAAGTTGCAAGCATGTCGGTCTCGTACTGGTTGGTGCGGAAGTGCATCCATTTATGGTGTGGCAAAAAATGCAGGTTAATGTGCTATCACACTAAATGGACATGAGTGGCCTAGTTTTTGTTATATAACATTATTTAATGTTCGAATTAATAATTATGGTATGTGTAGAGAAACGCAACTCATTAGATCATTTGTTCAATGTCTACGAAGTTACAAACTAGTCCCGAACTGGGCCCAAATTGAATCATAAGTACTCCAAATTCAGTATAAAATGGTTATAGATTTTAATAATTAGAAAATAGTTGTGAACAGTTTTGAGGCTAATGTTAGATCGTTAACAGATAGTATTAAATCGGTAACATGTAATGTTAAATCGTTAACAGGTAATGTTAAATCCTTAAGAGATAATGTTAAGTCGGTAGCAGGCAACGTTAAAAGTTAAAATTTAAGTGTGCTGTTATATCAAGCAAACAGCCATTTTAAGTTTAACGTTAACGATAAATTAGTGCAAACGAAATGATATCGATGCGTTTGTTGAATACTCAGAAACTGACCATTTTTAAATTCATTCTTATTTCTTTATGAAAGCTTGCATAACAAAAATTTATTATGGAAATTATGGGGCGCAGCGCTAGCAATATCGGCTTTCGGCTGAAATATATAAATATCCAAAAATGCTAAAATTCTAGACATTAAAAAATGATGACATAACTAAAATTGTTTAAAATTTTAAAAATTTTTTTCCTCTCTTTCACAGTTCATTTGCGGCCTTCTGGCACTCTCAACGCTCACCTATGCCGAGGAAGCGAAAAAATCAGTCGAGCCCAAATCTGCGGAGCCCGCTGCTGCCGCTACTGAAGTAAAACCCTCCAGCACGGCTGATAAAAAGCAAGAGAAGCGCGGCATCATACACGGCACCGGGTACGGTTATGGCGGTGGTCATGGAGGTGGCATTGTGATTAGCGGTGGACATGGTGGTGGATATGGCGGTGGCTATGGTGGTGGTGCACTCCTCGGCGGCACAGGACTCGGTATTGGCTTGGGTGGCGTTGGCGGCGGCATTGCTGTTGGCGCTGCTGTACCAACCAATGTACAAACCTCCTATGTAGAACGTCAAGTAGCTGTACCCTATCAGGTTGAACGCGCTGTGCCATACCCGGTCGAACAAATTGTACAAGTGCCCGTGCAAGTGCCTGTACCACAGCCGTACCCAGTGGAGAAGACTGTACATGTGCCCGTAAAGGAAATCGTTAAAGTGCCCGTACACATTCCACAACCCTACCCAGTCGAGAGGACGGTGCATGTACAAGTACCCGTACATGTTGATCGCCCCGTACCGGTCAAGGTGCCCGTTCCAGCGCCATACCCCGTGGAGAAGATCGTTCAAGTGCCCGTTAAAGTGCCCGTGCCACAGCCCTACCCGGTAGAAAAGATCGTTCAAGTACCCGTTAAAGTGCCCGTGCATGTGCCACAACCCTACCCAGTCGAGAAGATCGTTGAAGTGCCCGTTAAAATACCCGTCGATCGTCCGTATCCCGTACATGTAGTAAAACCATATCCAGTGCCTGTGGAGAAACCAGTACCATATCCAGTTGAGAAGCGTGTCACCATACCCGTTCAAGTGCCTGTCGATCACCCCGTACCAGTACCAGTAGATCGTCCAGTGGCAGTACCTGTCAAAGTAGCTGTACCACGTCCATATCCCGTCATCAAAGAAATCCCCGTTCCAGTGGAACGTAAAGTGCCTTACCCCGTCAAAGTACCAGTCGATGTGCCACGTCCCGTACATGTCGAACAACAAGTTCCAGTGGCCGTGGAACAACACGTGCCTTACAAAGTCCCCGTCCCCGTGCCAGTACATGTTGAAAGCCACGTAGCACCAGCGACAACGATAATCAGCGGAGGCGGTTATGGTGGTCACTCGATCGGCGGCGGCTATGGTGGACACTCAATCGGTGGCTATGGTGGTCATGCCATCAGTTACGGCGGTTATGGACACGGTCACCTCCACAAAAAGAAGTAAATTGCTAGCAGCATTGACTCGTTGTGAGGGTGTGAGACTTCTTAGTAAAAAAGGTTTGGAGACTTACATATATACATGTAGAAATTACGACTAATAGTTGAAAGTTTAAAAAATAATGGCCATCATTACTCGACAACCACAAAAAAAAATTACATTAAAAATATTGCGCCGAAAAAAAGAGGATTGAAGTGAAATAAGAATGAGACAAATGATAATTTCTTACTCCTTCTTGTTTTTTACTCTTCCAAATGTATATTTTAGTTTTTAGTTTGTGATAAAAATTTGGATGAAGCGAAGGCGATGACAAGTATTGAACACGAAAGCGAAAAGTGCGGAGAGGAAGATTTAGAGTGAAATGGGCAAACGATTTGGAAGACGATTGGTGGGTGTGGAACTTAAGATAAGCGTGTCTTGAGAGAGCTTTAATCACAAAAGTACCTAAATTAAATATAAATAGTAGACAAACGGAGGCAGTCAGTACTTGACAAGATTTTTTGATTCCTCTCATTCACAACATTGTAGTCCACAAACTTGCCTGCCACACCCATGTTTATTAAATGCACAGATTCGTAGTTTGCAACCTTTGACTCTCTAAACAAAACCATGTCCACATATATGTTTGGGAATTTTCTTCATTATAACTTCTTGCAGTGTTTGGAATTAAAATTCATCGCCTTCAAACACGTCTTCGTATATTAAAAAAAAAAAGAAAAACAAAATGGTATGATCTTTGTTTTTGTACGATTTATTAAATTGTATATAATTTAATTATGTAAATAAAATGACGACAAAATATTATCGAAGAATATATAAGAAAATAATTACCAATGTGTTTTCTTTGACAAGCAGAAATTATTGTAGGAAAGTATGATGCACAAAATAATTTTATTTTAACTATAATCTTGGCTTGAGTCTCACAAAACATTAACCGGTTAAGAATTCGGCCGAAAGAATACTAATTGGAATACTATCTTGCCGGCATTTAGGCGCATTGATAAAGGGGTCGTCATTGTAACGAAATAATTTATTTATACCTTAACAGACAAGGCTATTGGGAGGTGGTAATTTTATGTAATTTACATGGGTAAAAATTTATGTCTGACTAGGGTGGCTTAATATAAATATGGCCGTACTCGAAATATGTTGAGTTGAATTGAGTAGATGCGGCAGCTGGTCAACCCCAGCACACTTAGGCCGATAGGCCCATTGCGTGAGTGATACCGCTGAGTTCCTGCCTTCACCTTCTCAAATGATCGAACCATTTCGTGTACTTTATAAAGGAGAGTGTTTCCCAAGAAACTTGTGTCGCGCGGATGTCAAGGTTGGACAGTGGCAGAGGTAGTGCTCGATGTCCTCCTCTTCTTCTTCTGAGAGTACGGGCGAATAAATTTCGCAACCCACCTTCCCGAGCCTGGAGCCGCCTGTGAAGATCACTATTGCGTTGAGGCGTTGGAGTTTTTCCTCTCGCATCTGTGTTGGATTCCTGTTGAGAGAAGATTACCAAAGCATAAACCTTCGGCACTCCTGTAAGAGATAATATTTTTGTATGTCCTATACTGCAATTCATCCAAGGTTGAGTTGCATTCAATCTTATTGCGTTGAAACCCGCTTATGATTTCCCGTATAGGTCCAGAGGAAGGAGGTTGAGACGAGTTAGCAGTGCTTCCGAGGGAGTTGATGGCAATGTTCCCCTTATCAGGATGGACGCCGATCGTTGAACTCTCTCTTATTTGCTCCTGAAGGTGATTTTATCAGATGCCGGCCACCAGACGGTGACCCCGTAGAATAAGATTTGTCTAACTACCGATGTGCATATCCAATGCACGATACCTGGTCTAAAACCCCATCACTTTTCTGTCGCCGTTTTGCAGGCGTAGAGTGCAGTTATAACTTTCTTTGATCTTTCTCCGTGTTCCGGCTTCAGTTTATTTTGCTTTCTAAGATTATCTCAAGGTATTTGACTTCGGGGAGAGGGTAATCTCCACACCCTACAATTTGGTGCATGCGGTTAGTACCTCCTGGTAATTAACACCATCTCGGTTTTATCAGAGCTCACATCCAGCCCGCTATTTCTGCACCATCTTTCAGCTAAACAAAAAACATTTTGGAGTAGTTCGCTTAATGTTTGTAGGTGTTTTCCTGTCGCTGTCAGAGCAAAGTCGCCAGCGTATACCACAACGCCACAACCAATGTTACGCAGTTTCCTAATCAGCGTGTTCGCTGTTAAGCACCACAGCAGTGGCGAGGCGATATTACTCCACCTGGAGGGGTGCCTCACATTGTGTGTCTGGCAACGCTGGTGTTTCCCATCTCTGCGAAGATGATCCTGTTCCACAGAAGAGACTCTATGGGCTATTGAAGACCCATTTTTTGAAAAGCCACTATTAGGAAAGCAGCATGGCCGCAAAAACAAATTATAAATATATAAGTTGAACCTGATACCTTAATCCTTCCTATACATTCTTTAGTCAATTATCGCCTGAAAGTATAGAGGATTCCAACACAACACACTANTGGTGCATGCGGTTAGTACCTCCTGGTAATTAACACCATCTCGGTTTTATCAGAGCTCACATCCAGCCCGCTATTTCTGCACCATCTTTCAGCTAAACAAAAAGCATTTTGGAGTAAATCGCTGAATGTTTGTAGGTGTTTTCCTGTCGCTGTTAGAGCAAAGTCGCCAGCATATACCACAACGCCACAACCTATGATACGCAGTTTCCTAATCAGCGTGTTCACTGTTAAGCACCACAGCAGTGGCGATAATACTCCACCTTGAGGGGTGCCTCCCGTTGTGTGTCTGGTAACGCTGGCGTTTCCCATCTCTGCGAAGATGATCCTGTTCCACAGAAGAGACTCTATGGGCTATTGAGGACCCATTTCTTGAAAAGCCTCTGTTATGAAATCAGAAATAATGTTATTTACTCCTTTACGCCAAGTCCTTTTTCAATGCTCCCTACTATTGGGGATAATCCTTTGGGTTGTCATGGTTGGATCTTCCTCCTTTTGCGATAAATATTACTTTGACCCTTGTTCATGCTTGCGGAACGTATTCTTGCTTAGGCAGGCTTCGTAAATTTCAAACCGAAATAGAATGTCCACATTTCCTAAGTCTATTGCCTTCCGCCTTTCCTTGAGATATGGTTTCTTAAAACAATCCCGCCGGCTAACCTCAAAATATTCTTCCTTATAAGTTTTCGGCTAAGGAGAGTATTTTCAAAAACTATTTTCTGATTGCATTTTTTTAGACACTGCCGTCCTTTCACTAATTTGCAAAGCAAGCAGAATAAGAAAAAAATATTTATTTGAAACTTGCCAATTTAAAGCAGCTGAAACAAAAATATATTCTTTCAAACTGCCATAGGAGCTAAAATTGTTCCAATTATTATATCATGCAAGTCGAAATAGACTCACTACTTAGAAAAAACTGTTCCTAATGGCAATTCAGACAAAAAGCTTGCGGAAGTAGCAAATTTCATGTAAAGCTAAAAATTTTAATTTTCGATAACAATATAAATTCTAAAATTTCATGTAATGAGGAATTGATGTGCATATTTAGATATTTGCCATCTCAAATTGCCCACTATTTGCACTCATCCTTATTTTTCCACTCTTTTTCTGTACACTTATTTCAATTAAAAATTTTTTTCAGCTTCTTCGAGATATCCTTAAGAAACCGTAAAAAATATGAATATTTAAATAAAAATTACTTCAAATATGCTTAAAACAGTTTTTTAAATATTGGAAAATAGTTAGAAAGTATACGCTGGGCAAACACTAAGCCATTGGAACACCCACAACTGAGCACTTTGCAAGTCAGACACTGTGAAAGCATGAATTTTAAACCGAGTCCAAAGGTATAGATAACCGTCTTGGAAGGGTCGATGGATTTTTTTTAGAAGTTTTTATATCGCAACATAAGCTTTTTGAGAAGCTTTTTTATCATCATGTCAGATATATGCCTGACATTCACTGCCAAAGCGGCCTCACCTAGAAAAATTTATTTTCTATGATATTGGGTGTTGATTGAATCAGTTCATTCAATATTGAACGTATGTTGGTCCCACTAATGCCTATAGTTGTCTCAATCACACTGTAGGTTGCTTGACGAAGTTGCAATATCAGTTTCTTCTTGGAGTGATCTAAGATCCCGATAGATTTCACCATCCCATCAATGAACACCGGCCCTTGAGGGTGCGTCATCGTCAAAAATTCAGTTAATTTCAACCACTATTGCTGAGTACGAAAGTTGTAAAAAATACACACACGAAAGTGTGCGCAATTTGATTCAATTTTTTTTTTTTTTGTGTCGACATGAACATCCTAATCAACTGTAACTGTACACAAACGTCTCAAGCTTTACAAATTGGAAATGTTAAAAGCAACCCTGGTATATGTGTATTATACTCGCATATATGTGTCTGGTTGAACTGAGGATACTTGAGCTTTGATTAAGACCACAAACTGGTAAGCTTACAAATGCATTCATTGTTGCAAACAAACTTTTTTTATTATTCATACTTTTGTGTTTAGTAATCATTTTTAAGCGAAAGCCAACTTACTATTTATCGCAACCTAAGCTTAAAAGTTTTGCAAAGCAATATAGTTGAAGATATAACTTTTAATGTTAAACTTTTCTGACAAGATATTAACTTTCGTATTGCTGCCTATAAGTAGGCAATACATTTTTAAGTTTACTCATAAGACCGGCACAGTACGAAATAAAACTCAGTCAAGCTTAAAGTTGAGCTTCAACAGAGAATGAATTTCTTGACTATGGACGCATTTCTAGTCGGATGTTGCTTTATGTTGATGCGAAGTAGCTACACAATAATAATAATAAAAATAACAAAAATATTCCCAGAGTTAGTAAACCAGCTACTACTGCTCTTTTTTTATTTAGCCTTAACTCCTTTTCGACATTCATGAAACACACTAATTGACTAATACGCAATGGATACTAATAGTATACATATTTTATATTTTTTAACTAAAACCATTCAAAGCAATATATCATTCGTAGAAAATTATTTATAAAAGAACAGCATTATTTTATTTAAAAAAAAATTGTAAAAAGGTTTCAAAGGCAAACATATTTTGATAATACAGATAAGATGTTCGAGAGTGCTTAGCTCTCAACTTCTTATGTAACTTTTCTTATTTTTAAAATCAACATATTTATTTCGAGACTCAATTTTAATAATTGTTGCCAAAGGTGGCGATAAGTATAGTGAAGCGGTCCCAGAAAGGTATCGGTCACGTCATTTTAAGAAATGTTATGTAATTTGTTTCTTTTACCAATTTTGTGTAATTCAAAAACTATCGAAAATCATAACAGTAATGAAAGCAATTTTTTTTCACCTTGTTAATCGATTGGTTTTGTGTTGTTAGTTTAAGAAAAAATAAAAGCCAAAATGTCTAGGCATCTTTTACTTCTAAAATTCATTGAAGATGAAGAAAAAAGTGCAATAGGCGCATGTTAAGAAGTTTCTGAGCAAAGCATCACCTTTTCTTGTTCAGCTTTTGTTTTTATCTTCCTGGCATATTTTCCATAATTAGGTTCACTTATTTATGATTTAATAAACAAAAAAATTAAAATAAATTATTTTTTTTTGTGCTCTGTCTTCTATTTCGATGTGAATATTATTCAATTTTCTTTACCAACTGGCAAATGTAATTTAACCAGGACGAAAAAATGTGCTGCCAAAGTTTCGCTTAACTGTTTTAATATATGTGTTTCCAAGAATAAAGTTTAAATTAAGCAAAGAATTCAATTTTTGGGCAGGAGCCCGAAATGATGATCATCCTATGCGGCTTGTAGGTA